TGCCCCCCAAAGAAATCCAGTCGCATCCTAGACGCCAAGGAGGAAGGACGTTATCTGCGCTCTCGTATTTCCTCTAGCTTTTAACAGGTAAAAAATGGTATTGTTTAATAATCTTCTTACGAATTCTGAATATTCCAGTGTATTTGATGATAGGCGTTAATAATACAGAATGAAATTGATGGACATTAATGAGATAAAGAATACACGTTGCCGAGTATTGCTTCTAGAAAAATCCACGCCTCATTCTTTCTGTTATCATTATCATCTTGCTATTTCCTGATTTTTATCGTTATTATGTGCATTAGATCGTTATATGATTTAAGATCAATGCGACAAGAAACTGCGATAGTTGTTATTCATTATACATCACTATCCACGAGGTTAAATTGCATATCCACCGGAAATAAAAAATAAATAATAATAATTAATAAATAATAATAAATGAATAGATAAAATGTAAACACCAGCCTATGAGAAAATCGGTTAAAAGAAAAATCAGCTTCGTAGAAAAGGAGAAGAAAAAATGTGTCGATTAACACCCAGTTGAAAAAACCGTTAGAATTTTCGCGCCAAAAATTCCCTTCCACGTTCGAATCCAGCGAAAAATGACGCCGATGACTTTTTTTCTTTTTTTATTATTGCTTTTATTTGTTATTTTATGTTGAGATATATTTCTTATTGGTTTCTTATTTTTCTTTATCTCTTCATATTTATTTCTTAGGTAATTCTAAGTAAGTAATGCTTTTTTTCCCTCCTACCCCTTCAATCTTGGGGGACACGTGGAGAATCGGGGTTGAAGGGGGGAGGGACACACACACGGGAAATAGTGCAATGAAAAGTGAAAATGTTGATTAAAATGCAAAATCCGAACGAGAGTCCGGCGCCGCTGCAAAATGCTCCGCGCCCGTGTCAGTGTTGCCAAAATCCCAAAGAAATTTGTAAGCCTAATCTAACCTAACCCGGACCCCCTTCCCTGGGGTAATTCCTTACCACTTTCCTGGGGGTATTTCGCCGTACAAATGAAGCATACCTTCCTAACCCCTTATCGGGGGCAAGCCCCCGGACCACCTAACCTAGGGGTATTTCGCCGTACTTTTCAGAAAGCTGACAGAATTGTTTACATTCGAGACAACGGGGTTTGTGGACTCTAGAAAGGCAACCTCTGGATTTGAATTAAAGTACAACCAGTGAGGTCCCCACAATATTATTAACTTCGCCGACATGTACGAACACTAGGCAATAATTCTATTATACTTTTCTCGGTATATGTAGTGCGGCTGCTCTAATTAGTACTGCCATTTCTTATTATTATCATCGAACTCTTGTTGACTTGACTTATGAGTTATCGTTATCGCGAGATGATAAGAAACGCAACCCTTTTGAGTTTTAGAAGAAATGGCTTTATTTTTTATTTTTTATTTTTATTTTATTTATTCTTACGGAAGTGATACAGGTACTGCAGAAAATCCCCCGATCGGTGTCCTGCGCATGCGTGGCGAAGCAAACAAGGTACCGCTCTTAATAAGGTTAGGTTCAGTTTGTTAAGTTGGACAGTTGTGAGTTCGAAGAGGAATTTCACTCGGCGTAACTTCAGTCCCCCCCCCCCCCCCCCATTTCAGGTTTAAAAGTTTTGACTTGAGCGAAAGATAACACGTAAAGGTAGATCGACGGAGAAATCTCATCGATTGGAAACATAAAAGGGAAAGCTGATTTTCGAAGATTCAGACCTAGGAATGCGGAATCGGCGACCGGCTGTACCCTGACGTTATTATTCTGTTACTCATTATTTCATTTATTTTTTATTTTTACCTTTTTTTTTCTTTTTTAATATATTTTTTTCTTTTTCATTATTTGATCTATTAATGTATTTATTTATTTGATTTCTTTGCAGGTATCGAAGAGAGGAAGCCCGAAAGCCGCCGAAATGTCCGTTGAGGGGAGCCTTTTCGACAGCGATTCCTCGGGAGAGCTGAGCTACGCGGATTGGGAGAAGGGCGTGCGGCGGCGCTCCCGCCGGCTGTCCGCATTGGAGGGCATCTGGAGGAGGAAGGAGATGCAGGCAGAAGAAGTGAAAAGAGAGAAAGAGGAGGAAAGGGAGCAGGAGGAGGAAGACGAAGATAAGCTGCCAGCCATGGAGAAGCTAGTCATCACGGAGGAGAGACCCTCGCCGAAGAAGAGGACCCAAGGGCGCGGCGGGGAGCGGCGGGTGACGGGCGAGGGCGGCGAGGAGGCCCCTCTCCTCGGCAGGAGCGAGATGCCGCCGCCGGAGGACCCGGTGGAGCTGCTCTGCGTCATCGAGCACAGGGAGCCCTCGGCGCTCGGTGAGACGGGGGGGGGGGGGGGTAAATTTTGGTTGTGGGCGTTAAGGTCATTGATTCAGTAGCGTCGGTGTTTTTGTTGTGGAGGTTGCTTAGTAGTAGTTGCGGTGGTAGTTTTTGGTGGTTTTAGCTGTATGAGTGACGGTTTGTTGATAATAATTGGTGTATTGGTGATATTGATA